AGTAGTTAACAGATGGAATGCATTAGGCAGTGATGTGGTGGAGGCTGACTCCATACACAGCTTCAAATATAGATATGATAGAGCCCAGTAGGCTCAGGAATCTGTACACCAGCTGATTGACAGTTGAGAGGCGGGACCAAAGAGCCAAAGCTCAACCTCCCGCAAACACAACTAGGTAAGTAAACCTTATGATAACCCCCTTCACCAACAGCCTCACAACACTGCCACAACCCTGTCTGTTTATACTGAGTGTTTGTTGAGATGCAAGTCCTTGTCTAACAGCCTTGTCTACGCGCCTTGACAATGTCACAATGGAACTAATGTCACCTTGACCAGTCTCCGTGGTGTAGTGGTAAGACACTCGCCTGGCGTTACGCGAGCGCTTTGTCATGGGTTCGTATCCTGGCCGGGGAGGATTTACTGGGCGCAAATCCTTAACTGTAGCCTCTGTTTAACGCAACAGTAAAATGTGTACTTGGTTGTAACAACAATTCTTCGCGGCACGGGATCGTATTCCAGGGACCAGCCCGAAACGCTACGTGTACTAGTGGCTGTACAAGAATGTAACAACTCTTGTATATATCTCAAAAAAAAAAAAACTAAAAACTTGACATTTACTATCTCTCCAGGATGCCCTTTTCTTTCGAAAATCAGCTGTCTTCTGTATCTACACAGGACGGGTCAACTGCCTGGGGCGGACGATGGGGGAGGGGGGGCAAAAGATTAGAAAATGACCGTACGAACGGAATCTATATCCAACCACGTAGTTACGAACTTGGTCGTTCGTTTTCAGTCGCTCTATAACGAATTCCTATTTTGTTTATGGTTTTAACGAGGATTTTGGTCATTGTTATTATTTTGTATCTCCCAAACGACGTTTATCGAGAGTTGCGTCCGGAGTCGATAGTGTGTATCCTCCCCGGGAGAATATAGTCCCCGGGTGAGAGTTCGCGGGCGAGGGCAGAGAGCGTGCGGTGCTTGGAGGCTCAGGCAGTGTTACTGGCACACACACACCGGCAACCCGGATACCTGACACTGTGACACATCTGAAATACATGATTTAGCGGTTGTGACACACACGAAGTAGAGAATTCGTGGTTGTGACACACATGTTGTCGAAAATTCGTGGTTGTGGCACACATGTTGTCGAAAATTCGTGGTTGTGACACACATGTTGTCGAAAATTCGTGGTTGTGACACACATGTTGTCGAAAATTCGTGGTTGTGACACACATGTTGTCGAAAATTAGTGGTTGTGACACACATGTTGTCGAAAAGTAGTGGCTGTGACACACATGTTGTCGAAAATTCGCGGTTGTGACACACATGTTGTCGAAAATTAGTGGTTGTGACACACATGTTGTCGAAAAGTAGTGGCTGTGACACACATGTTGTCGAAAATTCGTGGTTGTGACACACATGTTGTCGAAAATTCGTGGTTGTGACACACATGTTGTCGAAAATAGTGGTTGTGACACACATGTTGTCGAAAATTAGTGGTTGTGACACACATGTTGTCGAAAATTAATGGTTGTGACACACCTAGAACCAAAAGATTAATGGTTGTGAAGTAGAAGCAGAAGATGTATTGACATAGAAATGTCACGAATTCGTATGATATTCCTTACATATATTAAGAGCTATATCCCGCCAAACACACACCGAAACTACGACGTTGGTACAACGTTCGAACAAGTTCTAACACTTCCTAACCAGTTATAACAATATAGCAAGTTGTAACAACGTTCTAATACGTCATAAACACGTTAAGCCAAGATGTAACAACTTTATTATAAGTTGTAACAAGCGGAAAATAGAGACAGTTTCGGTTTGTGTTTCCAGGGATACTCGCCTCTATTCCAGTACACCTGATTTTCCACAACTGACAACAGAGTGAGAGAAATTACTGCTGGGAGGTCGATTCACATAACTGCTGTGATAATTAAATATAGACTTGAAAGACAGTTCATAAAGATAACCTTTCATGGTGCAGGGAACTTCAGACACTCAAGAGCTTTCAGATTTCGGAGCTTCGAGACGTTCCAAAGATTCAAGTCGTTCCATTTCAGAACAGATTGTAAGATATGCTGCGGACAATATCGTAAGATTTTTCTATGTGCTGACTTACACATAGACAAAAATCTCATTAACGTGATGTATCTATGAGCGTGGGAACACCCAGCGCATAGGTTCGAATCCTCATTACAGCTCCTACGGATTTTCTCATTTGCTGACTTCTATATCGCTTGTGAAGAGATAAACATTTTCCACTAAATAGCTGTAAACAATGCAGAGGAGAAAACGTTTCAAATCAGGATGTTTGTGACTAATGGAACGTTTACAGTATGGCGTTTATAAAGTCAAGATGACAGATATTTCACCGTGACATAAGCTAGTTAGTGAACAACGTCTCGAGAGATTTTGTAAAGTTCACATTATCTTTCACTCTATAAGGCGTTGAAGGCTTGTCCACGAACGAAAAGGACGAAGAGTGCACGTCATGGACTCCAAGCACAGAAAACACATCATTTATATTATCCTGAGTATCATTGCGATGATTGAGTGTGTCATCACACTCCTCATCAACGTGACGGACAGGACTTTGAAGGCTAAGCCTTCAACAGCCTTCGCCAACAGCTTAACAGCAAGTATTTGGCTGCTGTCGGCAATATCCTTAGTTTCTAATGTAATTTTTGAGACAGCTTCCAATATGATAGAATCAGTGTGGCCTTGTATAGCTCTGGCAATCTGTGTCAGGTACCTACATATAGTGACTTGTTTTAACTTTACTAGCTTGGCGTTCGATCGTTACCTGGCCATCTGTCAACCACTTCATTACAGCAGGCTCCTAACGAGGGCTCGCTGCCACCTGCTGTGCCTCGCCTGTTGGGTGGCTCCCTGTCTCTTCTTAATACTGCCCTGCGGTTCAGAATTACCTACCTTGTGCTCGAAGGGCCGCTCCATCAGCTTGACCTTCCTGGTGGCTTACACCGTCATCTACACGCTCGTCACTCTTGCTACTATAGTGCTGTACAGCCTCGTTGCTCTGGAGTTCCGCCGGGAGAGTCTTGGACACGCACAGGACAAGGAGAGGACAGAACGCCTCCTGAGGAAGAGAACAGCTGCATCAGCTTTAAAGTGTTGATGCTGTACATCTGCCTGGGTCTCCCACATGTAGGTTCTCCTCAACCTTCGTAATGTCATTACTTCTCAACCATCTTCACGGTAGTGTTCATCTTGGGTATTAAATAGAATTAGTGTCAGTATAAGATATGGATTAGAGGAAAGGTATAAGACTCTTACTTATAGGTACTTATGATATCTATCCAATTACCTTAAACTACATGAAGTGCTTCGGCCAGGAGCTAGATGTGGTACCAAAATACCTGATCAATCAGGCTGTGACTCATACGTCAGGCTGCGAGCAGCCGCGTCTAACAGCCTGGTTGATCAGTCCAGCAACCAGGAGGCCTGGTCGACGACCGGGCCGCTGGGACACTAAGCCCCGGAAGCACCTCAAGGTAACCCATCTCGCAGGATAGTTTGTCATAAGGAGGCAAGTGATCAGGTAGTTAAAAAGGTCAAACTTCAAGTGCCTTTGAGGTTATCCTGAAGAACCCGGGAGTGGGTAAAGTATGGATAATTATTACTGTAATGTTGAGAAGTGTGACGCAGTTCCTGGTGGCAGACACACACACACAGTTCTCCGATCTGTTACCAGCAGGCACACTGCCACAGGCAGCAGTTACTCATCATCATCCTCACCCTCGCTATATATTTCTGGGATTAGATGTTTTGTGCTAACTGCCTAACCACTTGGACTGGAGGGTAACGAGTGACAGTCTCGCTTCATGCAGGTCGACGTTCAATCCCCGACCGTCCAAGTGGCTGGGCACCATTCCCCCCTCCCCCCCAGCACCCCGTCCCATACCTTGAGGTTACCTTGAGGTGCTTCCGGGGCTTAGCGTCCCCGCGGCCCGGTCGTCGACCAGGCCTCCTGATTGCCGGACTGATCAACCAGGCTGTTGGACGCGGCTGCTCGCAGCCTGACGTATGAGTCACAGCCTGGTTGATCAGGTAACCTTTGGAGGTGCTTATCCGGTGAGGGGTCGGCCAGTTATGCCCCTTATGTGTAGTGGCATATCCCATCCCAAATCATTATCCTGATCCCTTCCCGGTAAAGTCGTAATGGCTTGGTACTTTCCCATAATAATTCCCTTCCCCCCTACGAGTTAAAGAGACGCTATGGTAATTCTAAAACTCTTGTGTCATCACACTTACAAGTTAAACGGGACCAACAAGGGGGCCTCGTAGCCTGGTGGATAGCGCGCAGGACTCGTAATTCTGTGGCGCGGGTTCGATTCCCGCACGAGGCAGAAACAAATGGGCAAAGTTTCTTTCACCCTAAGTGCCCCTGTTACCTAGCAGTAAATAGGTACCTGGGTGTTAGTCAGCTGTCACGGGCTGCTTCCTGGGGGTGGAGGCCTGGTCAAGGACCGGGCCGCGGGGACACTAAAAGCCCCGAAATCAACTCAAGATAACCTCAAGATAACACATCTCCTTTCCTCATTACAGACCGTCTATCCGCTCCTGATGAAGCTAATAAAAGAAGAAGATAAAAAAGTCGAAGATCTTCTAAACGAAATTTTCTACTACATTAACCGCATTCAGCTGCTGTTCTTCCTGCCCGTGTACGCTTGGGCCAACACCTCCTTCCACCACGCTCTCAACGCCAGGGCCAGGAGACTGATCATGTGGCTGGCAGCCCTGCTCGCCGATCTCTGCTGCGACAGGAGACGTAACCGTATTCAGTCAGAGGAATCAACCCAGACGGAGTCCATGTGAAGGGGCGGAGCTGGAGGAGCCAGCGCTCTCTCTCACTCACCGAGGTGTACTCATACACAACACCCTGTCAGTGTAGGAGAGACATAAATGTATGTGTGTATAGCAGGCATCTGGCAGTCTGGGGAGACTATGGAGTTGCGCTCCATGTATGTATGTATGTGTATACAGGATATGTGGAAGCTGGACAGAATTACATTGCAACTTTGTAAATGCACATTGATGACACTATGTAAAAAGATACAGCGAGCACTGTTTATGTAGGGGAGACGTAAATATGTGTATGTATGTATGTATTTATGTATGTAGGGTAAATAAACATTATAAAAGGACTACAATCATCTTCTGTGGTTGATTGATCAATAAATCACTGAACTAAATGTTTAACAGCTCTCTAACCCTGTCCATGGAGGACAGAAGAAAATGTATATATGCTGGTATGCATCAGAAAACTCTTTACCCCCTGAAGGATTCGAACCCCGGACAGCTAGGGCTCCATGCCCCTTAGCGTGTCCAGTACCACTAGGCCACCCTGACTGTACAAAAGAGTTAGAAGTCATCTGACCCTTAACCCAATTCCCGACAGCTCTCTGTGACCAATTTGGGCACAAATATTTCATCAAATCACTTCATCATACTGGGACCAGGTATCATTTGTCAACCCAGAGTTGACAAATGCATGTCAAATGCAGGGGTGAAGCGTTTCCTGATGCATGTTAGCTTGGAGACCATTCAAGCTTGACGCAGAAATGATTCTCACGTGGCTCCAGCATGATGAAGTGATTTGATGAAATATCTGTGCCCAAATTGGTCACAGAGAGCTGTCGGAGAAAAGATTATTCTAATTCTGTTCTGTTTTTATTCTAACATAAGAGTAAAGAATAAGGCATAAAGGAGAAAATAGTAAAATAAGGATAAATAGATTATCCTACTTATCCTCATTCAACTCTTTTCTCCTTTATGCATTACTCTTTACCCTTATGTTTACCCAATTAATACTCATTGTTTACACCTGACCCCATTGTTCGATCCATTTGTATTCACCTGACAAACTATTAGTATAAATATAATGTCCGGTACTGTAACATCACTTGAGAATGAACCATGTAGGTTCGAAACGTTGTGCAATTTTATTATAAGTGTAATACATTCTATAATTATTCACTTCTTTTTCTTCACCTCGAAAAACGAACATGACTTTTGGAGAACTCCTCTTCCAACTAAACCCTTATCTATAATCTTTTATATCACAGGTGATTCAACAAGACTCCCCCCCCCCCTCCCCCCCCCCTCCCCCCAGTTGTCATGGTTTGCCACAACGTACAAAATACAACATAACCAAACCAGACACGCACGAACCTAACCAACCCACCTAACCTATAACATACCGATTCATAGAAAACGTGGATTATTTTTTTTCCGCCGCTACTTGTATTAATAACTTGTACATGGAGGACCACAACGAACAAAGTATGACGTATTAGTTGAGAAGACGGATTCAAGAACCAGATTTGCCAGAAAGCCCCACATCCGGATTTGGGTTATCACCTCTTCGTTATCACAAGCAAAATGTGAGCATTATTTTTGTTTTATCCGAAAGTGATATCCTATCTCACCAAGTAGGTTGACCAAACCACACACTAGAAGGTGAAGGGACGACGACGACGTTTCGGTCCGTCCTGGACCATTCTCAAGTCGATTGAGAATGGTCATTCTCAAGGACCATTCTCAATTTTTAAGTATTTACGCAACTTCATACGAAACCTGTACATCTTTCCTCAATCATGGCGGTTTTGTTATTATTAAACAGCCTATGAGCTCCGAGGCACCACGAAGATGTCTATAACAATAATTATCTCGGGTTGTGAAGTTTCCAAGCTTGTAAACTGTGAAATTAATGTGAACTAAACCGCCCTGATTAAGAAAAGATGTACAGGTTTCGTAGGTATGCAAATATTTCAAGATTCCTGGCCCAGATGAAATTGAAATAAGTTGATTGAGGTATAAATACACACAAAGGGATGAGGTAGCTCAAGTTATTCTCACCCCGTTCAGTACAACGTGTTTATATATATATATATATATATATATATATATATATATATATATATATATATATATATATATATATATATATATATATATATATATATATATATATATAACTTCACTTGCGTGTTTAGGCAACTTGTGCATTAAGCATAGACACAGAGTTCTATTTCTATTATTAGTTCAGAGTTCTATTATTAACAGGGATTTGATGAAAAGAACGTGAGTAACCCCTCACTAACTCTAGTTGCCCTTGGGAGGTGGTGATCTTTGGGGGGTTTAAATACCCCGAAATTACCATCTCTTTTAAGGGTCTGAGTTTGGTGCAGTGGATTAAAGGCGTACCTGTTATGCCAGTTGCTGTAAGGCTTCTGTGCTGGCTAGGGTTCGAATCTCCTGGTGGGAAAGTGTTCTAAAGTTCTAAAGTTCTAACGGTGACGATTTATCTTCACGTGTGTGATATTTATTGTAACTTGTGTTCAGATAACACATATCTCAGAAGAACATTCATCAAGTGTTTACCTGTTTTACGAAACCTGTTCATCTTTCCTTAATCATGGCGGCTGTGGTTTCATTTATTAAATAGTTTAGGTGCTTGGAAACTTTACAACCTGCGGTTATTATTGTTATAAACAACCTCGTAGTGCTTCGGCGCTCGTAGACTGTTTTATACATGTAAACAAAGCCGCCAGGATTGAGGAAAGATGTAAAGGTTTCGTCTGTAGTTGCCTAAACGCTGGATAAATTCTGCTCTGTGCAGCCTGTCATCAAATGGCTGGGGCGGTTCACGAAGCGAATAATTATTATTACCCCGTTGTCGGGGACAGGAAGCCTGCGCGTATACTTATCGAGGTGCCCCCCTGGACCAAGTCCTGACCTCAGGCTGCAACCCCCACAACAGTTGCCTAACTCCCGGGTGCCTATGAATAGGTGAATAGAGGGATCGGATGAAAGAAAACGTGCTACACGGGGCTTGAACCCGGGTTTTTCGACTGTGAGTCGAGGACGTAGCCCACCTAGCTACGGGACAATGTTAGATGTAACCCAGTCGGTAATAGTCCAAATTTTGTATATTTGACAATCTGTGTTCGAACTTATGACTCGAGACGTCTTCGAACCTGTGACTTGTAACGTGTTCGAACCATTGACTCAAGATGTGTGTCATCCACTCCACTATATACTGTAAACAGTTATTATATCAACGTAACTATGCACAGCTAAGCTGACCTAGCCTAGAGAGCCGGTCGGCCGAGCGGACAGCACGGTGGACTTGTGATTCTGTGGTCCTGGGTTCGATCCCAGGCGCCGGCGAGAAACAATGGGCAGAGTTTCTTTCACCCTATGCCCCTGTTACCTAGCAGTAAAACAGGTACCTGGGTATGTCAGCTGTCACGGGCTGCTTCCTGGGGGTGGAGGCCTGGTCGATGACCGGGCCGCGGGGACACTTAAAAAGCCCCGAAATCATCTCAAGATAACCTCAAGATATAGCTTAGACACACCAATGAACCTTACCAACACCACCCCCCCCACCTCTCTCTCTCTCTCTCCCCCCTCTCCCACAAAAACCCGTTCCCCCCCCCCCTTCTCTCTCTCTCTCCCCCCTGCAGTCATTCTCATCTCTTTCTAGCTCCTCTTCATCTCTCACCTTCCCCTCTCTCTCTCTCTCTCTCTCTCCCCCCACACCACTACCCCCACTCTTCCCTGCCACTCCCTCTTCCCTCACCCGTCCCTCCCTCCCCAGCAGACACACCAGGTGAAGGCCAGCAAGTCGTACCACCAAAAGGAAAAACATTTACCAACTCAGTGATCGTGGCAGACCAACCGAGGCTTAAGTGTGCATCAGGAGGGATTTCAATTAGAGTTAATTCGAGTATTATTATCTGTTGCGGATGCTGGTCAGCGGGTGGGATGCTGACTATGGCCGTCCACATGTTGTCCAGATCCTGTCGAATTGTACTGGAGTGCTGCGTGCTGTAGAATCTCTGGTCGACGATCCTATAAGATAATCTTCGGTGCAATGTTCTGGTCGACAATCCTATAAGATAATCTTCGGTGCTGTTCTGGTCCGCCGATCCTATAAGATAATCTTAGGTGCAATGTTCTGGTCGACGTCCTATAATAATCTTCGGTGCAATGTTCTGGTCGACGATCCTATAAGATAATCTTAGGTGCAATGTTCTGGTCGACGATCCTATAAGATAATCTTCGGTGCAATGTTCTGGTCGACGATCCTATAAGATAATCTTCGGTGCAATGTTCTGGTCGACGATCCTATAAGATAATCTTCGGTGCAATGTTCTGGTCGACGATCCTATAAGATAATCTTCGGTGCAATGTTCTGGTCGATGATCCTATAAGATAATCTTCGTGCAATGTTCTGGTCGACGATCCATAAATAATCTTCGGTACAAGTTCTGTCGACGATCCTATAAGATAATCTTCGGGTGCAATGTTCTGGTCGACGATCCTATAAGATATCTTCGGTGCATGTTTGGTCGACGATCCTATAAGATAATCTTCGTGGCAAATGTTCTGGTCGACGATCCTATAAGATAATCTTCGGTGCAATGTTCTGGTCGACGATCCTATAAGATAATCTTCGGTGCAATGTTCTGGTCGACGATCCTATAGGCGAGATCGTGGTTCAGACTCTGGCTGACGATCCTATTGTTGTCTCTGGAATGATGATCCAATCGTGAAAGAATTTGGAAAGTTCATAGCAAAGTCCACACCTTCCAAATCCACTTGGACAGGAAGAATTTGCAAAGTTCAAATTTTATAGTGTTTGTGCCTTTTCGAATCAGTTTTACGACAAATGCTTCTTGTATTCCTAACAGGGTCTTCTGATTCAGGCTTCTGTTGGTTCTGGCACTCTCTACAAACGCAAAGCATTTCATGAGAATGTGGAAGTGCTCGTCTGAAAGTGTTTACACGAGGGCCTTGATACAGAGTGTCGTGGTGTAGGGTGTCGCTACACTCACTGCCTGCTGGGACCTTGAGGAAGTGTCGTGGTGTAGGGTGTCGCTACACTCACTGCCTGCTGGGACCTACAGGAAGTGTCGTGGTGTAGGGTGTCGCTACACTTACTGCCTGCTGGGGCCTACAGGAAGTGTCGTGGTGTAGGGTGTCGCTACACTTACTGTCTGCTGGGACCTGAAGGAAGTGTCGTGGTGTAGGGTGTCGCTACACTTACTGCCTGCTGGGGACCTACAGGAAGTGTCGTGGTGTAGGGTGTCGCTACACTCACTGCCTGCTGGGACCTGAAGGAAGTGTCGTGGTGTAGGGTGTCGCTACACTCACTGCCTGCTGGGACCTACAGGAAGTGTCGTGGTGTAGGGTGTCGCTACACTCACTGCCTGCTGGGACCTACAGAAAGTGTCGTGGTGTAGGGTGTCGCTACACTTACTGTCTGCTGGGACCTGAAGGAAGTGTCGTGGTGTAGGGTGTCGCTACACTTACTGTCTGCTGGGACCTGAAGGAAGTGTCGTGGTGTAGGGTGTCGCTACACTCACTGCCTGCTGGGACCTACAGGAAGTGTCGTGGTGTAGGGTGTCGCTACACTTACTGTCTGCTGGGACCTGAAGGAAGTGTCGTGGTGTAGGGTGTCGCTACACTTACTGCCTGCTGGGACCTGAAGGAAGTGTCGTGGTGTAGGGTGTCGCTACACTCACTGCCTGCTGGGGACCTGCAAGCGAACTACACCTCAGGTGTAGTTGGTGGTCTCAACACCTTAGACCAATGATCTAAACTGTAATCACAGGTGCCTACCACTAACCTTCAGGCAACCACAGTTACAAACACTGGTTAACCTGGTTGATACCTGGTTGATGGGGTTCTGGGAGTTCTTCTACTCCCCAAGCCCGGCCCGAGGTCAGGCTCGACTTGTGAGAGTTTGGTCCACCAGGCTGTTGCTTGGAGCGGCCCGCAGGCCCACATACCCACCACAGCCCGGTTGGTCCGGCACTCCTTGGAGGAATAAATCTAGTTTCCTCTTGAAGATGTCCACGGTTGTTCCGGCAATATTTCTTATGCTTGCTGGGAGGACGTTGAACAACCGCGGACCTCTGATGTTTATTTGAAA